TCTTCTTCACAAACAAAACGGGTGCTCCCCAGGGTGAAGTACTCCTACGGATAAAACCCTGGTTGAGTAACTGCTGAATCTGATCCCTCAGCTCTCACATCTCCACTGGTGCCATCCTATATGGTGCCCTAGCAATAGGCGTAGTGCCTGGAGCTAAGTCAATCACAAAGTCAATCTTTCAACTAGGTGGCAACCTTGGAATCTCCTGAAATACATCTGGAAACTCTATACAATTGGTATGTTATCAATGACACAGTAGTCCCCTCCTCTGTTTCCTCCCCCATATGAACCAAATAGGTGCTAGTGACCCCGCTAGAACGTGGCATAGCAATGACGTACCTATCCTGACTAGGTACGGTGATCACAATAGACCCATCCACAACAAATAACTTGAGTATGGCAGTGATAACCAATCCATCCCATGTCATAAGTGTGCCTGTCCATAACCAAAAGATTTGCTAGAAATCTGAGTCTACTAATATCTAGTGTCACAGGTCCATCCTATATGGCAGTATTGCCTAAAAACAAATATCCTAAGGTCTATTGTATAAGTGTATCACCAACCAATCTATAAAAAAAAAATTCCCTGTTTCTGAAAATTCTATAAAGCAGAACATATAAAGTAAACAAAATACTCCAAAATCTTCCCATTTTAGACTATTGTTCTATCCTGGGAATTCCTCTTTCTAAACCAAACCTACCATATTGATTTACACAAGTTCTCTCACAAACTCCTTGGTAATCATCCCGTCTCAACATAATGTACCACAAGCAAATATCTGTTTGCCTGAGCAAAACCAATCATTCCACTGTGATAGACATTTATGAGCCCAACATAACCATTCTAATACAGCTTAATAAAACCATATGTGTATAAATCGCCAAAAATGCCATCACAAAACACAATAAAATAGCCAAAACCGTTAGATCACTTTATTAAGAACTTTTCCAAACCACAACTGTCAACCCAATAATCGTAAGGTATTCTTTAACATAATCCTAATGTACGTGATTAAATCCGTACTACATTCTTACTAATACCTCCTCCACTACTAGTAATTATAAGTACTCTTAAAAGAGCAGTCATCCTTGAACTCCGGTGCCCTCCATCTTGGATGCTCTGGTATCTCCTCTATCCTGATCTTCTTCGGGGTCTTCCTCTCCGCTTGGTTCAGCTTCGAGCACCACTGAAGTTGTGTTGGGTCCATAATATGGTGGCCAATCCCGCACACAAAAAATCTTCCTTGACTTGTACTCCAAAGCAATGCCTATCGGAATCAACTCCCTGGTCTCCAATTCCGCCTTATTGGTCTGCCTTCGTAGGGGAATCACCGGAGTAACCTTCCTCGGCCTTGGGCTCGTCTTTGCTTTCATCGCGGACCCTATCCTCTTCCTAGTGCCAAACATTCTGCAATTACAGAATTAACTTGACATCAGTACTTTCTAAACGAACCGTAAAGGAATACTATGAATCCTAAACTTAAGCTCTAATTAAGAGATAACGCTACGCGGAAGTCTTAATACGAAACACTCTAGAGACACTTGAACCTGGAGTGCTCTGATACCAACTGTGATACCCCTTGGATCCGAGACACGGATTGATCAGGCCCAGGCCCAAACCCGAGGGAATATCAAACAATTAATATTTAAACGAACACAGATGACAAAATGAATTTAATAAATAAAATTTTAAAAGCTATAAAGAATACTAAAACATGATCCTTGAAATTTAATACTTAAAATTCCACATAATAAAGTTAAAATAATCCAACTTAAAAACCTCAAAGGGTATAACTCGGGAATCTATCCAGTGGACTCCTAATAAGAAACCAAATTGAAATAAAACTAGAAGAAATCCATAATTAAATCATGGAGAGAGATCCTACGTCGTCGGAAGAATGAGTGACCTTTTCTGCCCAGCACGAACAAGTTCAACCTGGAACTAACGTACACCTGAAAAATAGGAGTGGGTCAGGCCCACGAACAAGTTCTATCCTACTACAATCCAAGCAGAGAGTTGATACGCATATACATTCTAACCAACTTAACAATAACTAAATAGTCTGTAGATATATATATATATATATATATTCACATTACAGGACTTTCACTAGACTACAGGCCCATCTCAACCTGACTAGTAGGCACCATACAAAGCGCACCTGAGGTGGGTATGACTACCTAGACCTAGCAGGATACACATCAAACCATCGCAGCCAGTTATGCATCCCCATGCATATACGCTTCCTAACCAGCGACTCTGAGACTCAGACTCATATCGTGGTACCATAAAAATATACTTAAAATCCATTCCCATCCATCCGTATGAAATCTAGTTTAGTCGTTCAGCGTAATCAGCAGCACAGACTAACATATAAGGAGGACTCTATTTATTAAAATCCGTATCCTTATTCCAAAATAGGTATGACTTAGCAATTTGAGCTAAACCAACCCTAGTATATCACTGTCCCATACCAGTGCATACCATCCATCCATCCAGTAGTTGACATTACAGATAAGGATTGTAAATATCAAACTAATCCATAACTACGACAATTGATAATATAACAATGTAAATATAAATATCAATTGTTCCAAAAATACATAGTCAATGCGTATAGTAAACTGAACCAAAAGAAGCATACATAGAAATTTAAACTAACATGCTTACTCCAGTAACTGATAAATCTAAATAATGAGATACATTAATCAATTTCATGACAAGCATAATAAAAATAGACAATCTATCATGCTCATACTATACCAACCCATTGATTGATGCTATAAATGATAAAAAGCTACACATCAATTAATCCTCACTAAACATGACAAAAATATAGAATTTGACATGCATATTTTACATCATTGATACATAATTAGAGATGTATAATCCTTGACAGAAAATTGCTAAATTAAGTTCCAGCAATTTAAACATCCATAGTCAAATTCAGTATAGGTAAGTTATTAAGAAATTCCTGTTATTCAAATTTCTAACAATCTAGAACTGGGTACACCTTCTGTGTTTTAAACCACACTTCTAAACCATCCAAAACCTACCATCACAGTTTCTAACTTAAGTCTGAAAACCCAAAAATCCATTCACAGTAGCTCAACCTCGCTGGAAATAGCAGAAAAATAAAAAGAAATAAAGAAAACAACTTAGCAGGCTAAATTCCCAACTTAGCAAGCTAAGTTCCCAACTAAGCCAGCTAAGTTCCCAATTTAGCAAGCTAAGTCCCCAACTGAGCAAGCTAAGTTCCTAACTTAGTCGGCTCGGTTGGTGATGTCGTCTTCTTCACTTTCCTTGAGTCCGGCGTCTTCCTGATGAACTGTCCCCCTTACCTAGGGTTCCTAAGATCTGAACTAGACTCCAAGGTGTTCCAGAAATAATTAAACCCTTTGTTTAATAATCGACAACAATTGCAACCCGAACTATGCAACAAGGATTTAAGCAAAGCAACTTACAGTTCATCAACGTTTACTGTTTAAACAAATCAACCATGAAACCCAGACTTATTTTAATATTTACCCAATGTGTTCCTGACTTAATTCAGTTCCTTATTCAATAATTCGTCGTCAATTTAAATCATGAATTAAGCAAGAAAAATTCAAAACAACCAAGTTTACGCTACAGGAAACACATATTGATTTAGTTACCTCAGACATGCAAACCAGATTAATGTTTATATTTCTTTACCCCTGAAGTTGTGTTTAGAATGTAAAGAACACGAGCAAAGGGAAAGAGTTAGGATTAGAACTTGCCTATAAGACTTTGGTTCAAAATCTTAGCGCCGTCCTCCTAAGGTTTTCGGCAATCCTTACTGTAATTTTCCTCTGTTCCTTCTCTGCCTCCACAGTCATGAGTAGGTTTCTAAAAAACCTTGGTAGAACCTTATACATATATTTATAGGCCAAACTAATCCTAGGTTTAATTAAACCCTAAACTGACTTACTCGGCCCATAGACCAACCCATGTTAGATATATGTCGGCTACATACGTGAATTCTAAAAATCCAAAAAAACTAATTTAATAAATAACACCTTTAACCATTAAAATAAAAATAAAATCTAATTTAATAAACAACTAAAATAAATAAAATCCAATTAAATAAACATGAGATTCAAATAATTAATCAAATAACATAAAAACAAAACCATATAATTAAATACACAATTAAATAAAATAATTAAATAAAACAACCACATAACACAAGTAATAATGCACAATTAATAAATTAAACCGCAATTCAACAATTAAATAAATTCCAGAACTATCTTTTTAACAATTAAATAAATTCCAGAACTGTCATTTTAAAATTAGGGGTATTACAGGTTTTAACTTATTCATTCAAGGGGGATCTTTGCCACAGAGTCTTAATTCTATAAATTTGGTTCTAATCCCAAAAGTTCAGCATCCCACTTCTATGACAAATTTTTGCTGAATTTCTCTATGCAATGTGGCGTATAAGATTTACTCTAAGGCCCTGGCAAATGGCCTTAAACCTTTTCTTTCATCGTTGATTTGTGAAAACCAAAGTGCTTTCATTCTAAACCGGCTTATTCATGATAATATCGTTATTGCTCATGAATTACTTCATGTTCTGAAATAAAAAAAGCACGGTGATTCTTGTTTTATGGCGCTCAAGTTGGATATGGCCAAGGCTTACGATCGCATCAATTGGTCCTTTCTGTGTCACTTTATGAGCCATTTGGGTTTTGACTCCGGCACAGATGAAAGACCAATTTCGGCACTCTCTGGGCATACGCAATGTAGATTGGTCGAATAATTATCTGGGGCTCTCGTCTTTCCTTGGTAAATAAAAAATTGCAGCTTTCAGCTTCCTTTCTGACAAAGTCTCTTCTAGAACTAAGGCTCTAAAAGGGAAGTTGCTTTCTAAAGCTGGCAGAGAGGTTATGGTTCAAGCGGTATGTCAGCGATCCCAACATACGTTATGCAATGTTTTAGGATTCTAAAATCTAATTGCAAGACTTTGACTAGCATGTTTACCAACTTCTGGTGGAGCGAAGAAGAAAAGTCTAATAAGATTAAATGGCTCAGCTGGGATACCTTATGCAAATCTAAAGCTGAGGGGGGTATTGGCTTCAAGGATGTGGAGGCTTTTAACCTTGTTTTTCTCGCTAAGACAACATGGCGGATGGAAACGGGAGATGACTCTTTACTGGTAAATTCCTTCAAGCAGAAATACTTTAAGGGTTATGCTTTTGTGGATGCGCCTTATAAATCCAATGCCTCATGGGCATGGAAAAGTATTTTCTCAACTAAGGAGGTCATCAAAAGAGGAATCTTATGGCGGATTGGCGACGGCTCTTCGATTGATTGCTGGTATGATAATTGGCTTCTAGATTCTCTTGATTTCAAAGTGGCATCAAAGCCAAACTCTGCTCATTTTTCCTTAGTATCGGATCTTATTATTCCTTCTATTCACTGTTGGAATACTAATTTGGTACGTCACCATTTTAATGAGCGGGATTGCAAGTCTATCTTTTAGATTTTGTTGAGCGATCGGGGTGGTACGGATACTAAGATTTGAGGCGGCACTCCTGATGGTGGTTTCTCTGTCAAGAGTGCTTATAGAGTGGCTTTTTCCATTCTCCATCCTCCTGCTCAATCTCTTCCTAGGGAAGGGTGTAGTTTTGCGGTATCCAGTGGCGATATGTGGAAGGGGGTGTGGCGTCTTCGGGCTCATAAGAAAATTCAGATCAATATTTGGTTGAGCCTTCATGAACGGATCCCGGTGAACAATCAACTTTTTAAGCGCGGGGCGTCTCAATTCTCTGGTTGTGTTTTTTATGGGTAATTTGTTGAAAGCGTGGATCATCTTCTTTGCACTTATCCATTTGCTTGTAAGGTTTGGAAATTGAGTCCTCTTCGTCTGGATTTCAGTGGCGCGTTTCCTACTACTTGGCAAAAGCGTTGGGTTGAGATGTGCGACAGATGGAGTTCCACAATGCAGTCGCTGAATGTAGTGGATTGGCGGCTTTCATATGTTGGTCTATCTGGAAAAGCCGAAACAACCTGACTTTTTGCAGGTCGAGTAGCGATCCTTTTGAAGTGGCTCAGAGGGATTTTAGGGATTTTAATGAATTTTTAGAGGTCTCTCGCCAGCATCTTCTTCTTTCTTTTCCTTCTCCCTCTCACCGTGTTATTATTTCGAAGTGGGTTGCTCCGGCTGAAGGATTTCTCAAGCTCAACTTTGGTGTGGCTTTCAATTCTTTTTCCAAGACTTGTGGTGGCAGTATTATCTTGAGGAATCATTTGGGCCACCCAATTAAGATTACATCAGTGGTATTCGATAATGTTAGCAACCCATCTTTGGCATAGGGTTTGGTGTTGAGAGCTTCTTTTCTTTTGTTAAAGGATTGGGGTTATCAGTTTGTTGTAGTCGAATGAGACTGTCAGTCGGTGCAACGTCTTCAACCTTCAGTGGCATCTCTTTTTGTGGTCCTGCCGGATATTACTATTTTTATTTCAGTTTGTCCGAACTCTTCCCTTGCTTAGACTCCTAGAAAAGGAAATGTTGTAATTCATTTACTGAGCAAAAAGGCTCTTGAAGTCGATTGTGGTGATTTGGAGTTGAGCATATGGCCCCCGTGGTTGTAAAATGGTACTCCATGAATGTATCGTTTCTCCTATTCTATGTTAATTCTCTAATTGGTGTTAAAAAAAAAAAATAATAATAATAAAAAAATTATTTATAGAATTCTAAAGCAAACTAATCTCCTAATGTCATGCAAAAAAGAATTACATTCACTTGTGATACACCCAATCTTGATGACTTTATCTAGCCACGTACCCCACTGCCAATTAACACCAAAACTCCTCAAGTCTTATTATCCTTCTTCACACACACTGACACATATCTTTTTTTACTTTTAACCTTCGATAATACTCTTTAGTTATCCATTGCAATAAAATATCCATCCACGCTTACTGGACTCCAAGTCATTTGCCACCTCATATCACGTCATCTTTTTTAAACATCTTCACCCAGAACTACTCAAAAGCTATATTCACAAGCTTTAATTGCATACATTTTCCTCACCATAAACCTTTAATTAAAACCATGCGGCACTTTATCCTCTCTCCATGTGTACGTCTAGCCATGTTTGGGTGTCAACATAAATAGAAGTTGCCCCCACATAGTTTTGTGCACATGTACTTGGTGAAATTGCAAACTTACGGAGAAAAACCAGTTTATTCTTAAATATATTTACCAAATTTCACACCAAATAGTTCCATGCATATATATATATCTAAACTATATATATACATATTATACAGAAGTACAACATCCCTTATGTATTGAAAAATTACAATTACCTCCCTTCTAGTTTGTGACAAGTGTTTTTTAGTTTTTTTTAACTTGTAAAGACACTTTTGTCCAATCTTTATTATGCAAAAAGGCAATTGTAACCCATTCTTTCTTTCCCTTTCATATTTTTATTTCTTTTTTTGAGGTACTTCACGACCCATATATGGGCAACCAATATTATTATTATTTTTTTTGTCTTGGCAAAAATTATTCTTGTAGAATTTGGCCCTATAAGAGCTTTGAATCTTTAATTTTTTATCTTAAGAAGTTGAGGAAATATCACTAAATTACTATAATTGGATTTTAATATCACTTTTGTAAGGATGATTCAAATGAGAAATCTGCTATGAAGATACCTTTATGTGAACTTGCACTTTCTGTTATAAGTATATACATATTTTTGGACATCTAATTCTACTAAAGTATTAGAGAACCATTTAATGGTTTATAAACAAATTTAATAAAACAGTAATGTGAGATATAAATTTTGTAATTGGCAAATTTTGGTGTCAAAACAAGTCCGACCGAGTTGTAATTTTATTGTTTAATTTTGAGTCTTGAATTCAGAAGCAGAATTGAAGTATTGGGAACATGTCAACATACTCCGATTCGATGAGAATGACATATTAGAAAAGATAAGTATGCGAGGACATATATTGTTAATCTTTGGTAAGATTTTAAGGTTAGGCACTTACGTAAATATTTTCAAAAATATTTCTTCACAAAGTGAATTGCCAAAGTTGGACTAGTTGCCAAGTTTCCCAACTGGTCCAAGTTTCCTAAAACTAAAGGTTTTGAATTAGGGGCCAGAACAACATTGCTGATTGAGCTAAACACTGCTAAGAGCGGTCGGTGTAAGGCCAAATATTTGGCAAGGAATAATAGCTGTGTAGGATGGCTAAAGGTGGGTCCCCACACAACTGCTGGCCTAAACACATGCCACAGTTAGCATACGTTTTGGCTAATCACAAAGGCCGAGGGACGGGGCCAGTGTCTACCCAGAGGGGCACATGTATGCCCCCCTACCTAGCCCACCCAGTATATTATATAGGACAATACTTAAGTCCTCACTAGTGAGGATCTATACTATCATCACCGCTTATGTGGTCCAATGAAAAGAAAATACTATCATTTTTTATTAAAAAAATAAAATAAATCGGATCATACTCGAATGAGATCTTGTAAAGTGGGTTCAACAATTTTTTTCTTTTTTCTTTTTCAAGGGAGTTTAACGTCACTCTCTACTTCTCTCTCGTTCCAACACTGCCTTCAGCCCTCCCTCTTTACCATTTTCTTCCTCTCAAGCTTCCAATCATGGACATCATTATTCAATTGGCAAGAATTGTAACGACCTAAACCCAGGGGTCCGAATCGCTAACCGGGTGCTTACTCGAACCCGAGGTCGTTTAAGGGCATTACTGTCCTTTTCGGTGTTAAGGCACCATTTACTCAACATACCAAGGTCAATACATCATAACTATGTCAAATACAAGCTCCATGATGGTCCAAGGTAACATCCCATTCATTCAAAACCATAGAAATGCATATCTTATACAAAGTCTCATCCTCATATACAAGAATTGTACTTAATTACATCAAATTACAGTCTATGAGGCATAATTACAATGACAAGAGTCCCTAAGTCACAATACCGAATACAACAAGCTAAGGTTTTACAAAATAATGCAACTTAGATACAAAAATAACAAAATGGTCTTCTAATCCAAACTAGGCTTGTGATGGAACATCATCCACCACTTCCTTTCCGTGTCCTCAAAGTGATAAAAATAAGGGGTCAGCACAATAACTCAGTAGAAGTCGCCTAAGGCGTCAGCTTTGGACTCCCCCGAGCCAAGTAACACATAAAGGGAGAAAAGAAATTGGGGACATGCATTGGGAGTCCACAAAATAATATTTGTATTTCGAACAAACATTTATTCTAACAACACAAACATTTCAACAATATACCATGTATGATATGAAATGCAATGCACCCCTCCTCGTACTTGATCTCTACTGACCTAACTTACAATTTTAAAAAACCGCTAACTAACTTTAACAAGGTGAGATTGATAGCTATCCCCGATTCCAATTCTGGCAACCATTTCGGGCCTTGCAACCGTTTTGGGCCTAGTATCAACTTTTTCATGCCCTACACCACGCCATGCTCCCTTTAGGCCAAGCTAGCACCAAACTCGCGAAATCCAGTTCATTTAAAAAAACTTCCCTTTTTTTTAAAAAAACTTTTCTTTTATAAAACTTCCTTTTTCCAAAACCATTTCTAAACCCCTTTCCCTTGCTATGCCATGAAATGCAACATTATTCATACTATTAACCGCAAGGGCATCACAACAATGTTAATAATACCAACATGGCATTTACAATTCCATAGACATAAATAAGGTATTTTAATACAAATTTTCAATTATAATAATGACATGCTCATCAAGTAACCACAATAACACAATAGCATTTTATCAACTTACAAATCAATATAATTTCCACATAATAAAGTCATGCATATCTTTTTCACAAAATTTGAATTTAATCATACTTTAACACTTAAACATGTTATTAACACCAACAAGGCAACAATATCATTTCATATATACAAATCTCAAAACATTAAAATATATATAATTGCTCAATCAAAGACAAAGCTTGTGGTGTTAGGAAGACCCCTACCTCAAATAGAGAACAACAAAGCAAAGCCCCAATTTTTAGCCTAATTTCCTCAAAATTCGAAAATGGCAAGGTGCTCCAAGCTAAAATTTGCTTCGATCAAAATGGAGCTCTCGTTGTGCTCATCGACTTTGCCTTCAGTGGCAAAGTCTAAATCTCAAAGATTTGGAAGAGATCTAAACTTGAAATTGTGGAGAAAAAGAAAAAAAAAAAAGAAAGTGAGAGAGAGAGATTGAGATTGAGAGTCTTTAATGACCTTAAGGTCATTATAAGGCTTATAACTCCTGTAGGTCCTATAGCATAATAAAAATCTCATTAACATTATAACATACATACATATGTATATACACTAATCAAATTACAATCACCAAATAAACATGTAGTCACATAATTATACAAAATAGCAATGCATGACCCAAAAAAAAAAATCCCCGTGCTCAACAACTCCGGTAGCGGGTCTTACCTGGGACCTCCCGGCCCAAAAAATGAAAAACTGCCGAAATGATAATCAATGCATTTTCAAGAATCCTGAACTCAAGGAAATGTCCCAACCAACTCAGAACCCATCCGGCACACCCCACGATGTCCGGCATGTAAAACGAAATAAGACTAAAATAACCCCAAAATTTTTTTTTTAAAAAAAAAAATCACAGAAAATGAAAAATGAGAAAAATCAAAAGTATCACATTCTACCCTCCTTAAAAAGATTTCTTCCTCGAAGTCTACCTTCCTTAATGAAGGAGGCCCACAGCCCTACACGTTCCCGATTAACGCCTTACCAAAAAGCAGGACTAAGAGCTCAA